AGTGTGCCTTTTCTATGCCATTGGTGATAATATGTAACTTGCATCCATAGTATTAGAAGATGAAATTCTTGCCTTTTCTTGTCAATTTTTTTAGTTTGTTTGCTATGCAGGTCATTGATTTTTGGTTAGCTAAGCAACCTCTAAACCCTCAAACCAATGACATATAGATTGAGAATGGGACTAAGATGTAAAGTTCAAAGAAGTTGGCTTTTCATTATCTAAGAAATCCCATTCAGGGAGTTAACCATGGCACATTGACAATTGAAAGAAAAACAAAACGGGAACATCAAGATTCAAGAATTGCTTTGTTTTTTCTTTTTTCTTTTTTTTTGTCAAAAAAATTGTCTTGTATCATTTTCACAAGAAAATTTTCTTGTATTTTGAGAATTGCAATGTATTTTGGCATATTATTTTATTATTAATAAAAGCTCATCTTTTTAATAAAAGCTCATTTATTTAATCAAAAAATGTTATTTTAGTATAAATTTAACTCTTGAAATAGATTATTATCTAAATATGAGTAAATAGTGCATGCCATTGAAAAAGGCAAATGAAGAACTTCAATCTCAAAAGTCATAAAAGGTATTTGTGGATAAAATCATTTGCAATTCTAAAAAATTAAAAAATTTATAATGTCTATTATAACCAATTATAGAAAAAGAACATAAATCCAATTCACCATAGAATTGCCTAAAGCATAAGGGAATGGAAAGCAAACCTCCTTTGGAAAAGAATCAAGAAGATGAAGGTCCATTTTTTGATTCATAAAAGAAGAGTAAATTAGATGGAACAGGGAAAATCTTCAATATAAATATTTTTTTATTTTTGTATTTTTGTATTTTTGCCTATAATTGATTGTAATACCAAAAGTCTCAAAAATAATGAAATGAAAAAAAGAAAGAAAATGAGAGAAGCGGGAAAAGCGGGAAAAGCGGGAAACAAATTTTATTTTGGAAAAATTGCAGTGAGTTAAATGCTGAAAAAAAAGTCTGCAGAGAATTTCATTTTGGAAAGATTTTCCGTTAGTTAAATTTGCCATGAGTTAAATTTGGGTTTACCGTTTGTTTCCCCCTCCATTTTCTGATTGATGAGGTGTTAAAAAAAAGGTGATGTGGGGGTTTTTAATTGGACCGGGATACCACGTCAGTGGTATCCCGGTGATACCCCAGACTTTCTCCATCATCAGAACCTTAACATGGAAGTTCAGGGCTTAAAGCCGTTGTATTGTAATGGTTGGAGACTACGCTTGTTGCTTTAGCCTTTAGCCTGTAGCGTGATGAAGTCAACAATCAAGCCCATGAATCTTAAGAAATGGCAAAAACCCTTCTTAACCCCCTAGACTTACCCCAAATTAGCATTTAAGCCTTTAAACTAAAAATGATGCAATTAAACTCTTCAACACCCCAACTGGTGCAAATAAGCCCTTATCACTAACAGCCCAAATAGTTGTGATGTGACATACACTGAATTTGCTTGTTCTTCCCCTTCCACTATTCTACATAGATATAAATACTAATATAGCAACATTATTTCATGTAGACGTAGATGAATTTCTTTTATTGTGTTTGTTTTGATAATTTTCTATCATATATTTTAACAAAATTTAGAGTTTAGTTATATATATTAAAAAATGCCATGAATTATGAAATCTAGGTTCTTTATCTTCTTTTGTAATGTATGGATCATGAATAATGTATGTGGTATCTTTAATTTTTATTAATGAAAATAAAATATGTAATTATTTTACAATTACACTCCATATTCTAATATATTTTAAAAAAAATTTATCAGAAAAGTAAAATTGAATTCTAAATAATTTTTTAGTTTAAATTAAAAAAAAACTCAATTTTTCTTAAATAAAATTTTAAATTTGAATTTTAGAAATAAAGAAATAAGTATTAGAAGAGTTTTTTTTTCTTATGAGATCTAACTCAAGTCAATTCCAAATTAATGGAGGCAAAGGAAGTACCCAAAAAATAAGATTAAATTAAAAATGCAAGTTTTCTAAACTGAAAACCACTTAGAATGTCAACACAACAATAAGTGTCGGCACTTTTGCTATAAGTTTAAGTTGAAGGGCTTATTTGCATCAGTTGAGGAGTTAAAGGGCTTAATTGCATCACTTTTAGTTTAAGGGTTTAAATGCTAATTTAGGGAAAGTTTAGGGGCTTTAGAATGGTTTTTGCCCTTAAGAAATTGGACCTGGCTCAACCTCCAAAGTCCAACCTGGCGGCGTCATTAAAGCCGTTTGACCTCTCCAGGGACGGAGTCAGCAATTGAAGTTAGGGGCGAGGGGAAGGTTAAAAAAATTTTTTTTGTGAATTATTTATTATTTTCGTGTTAATATAATTTAAACTAATTTTTTATATTAGTTACTTATTTAATGTATGTATCATTTATTTATGTATAAAAAAATTTAAATTAATTAGATATATTTAATTTTATCAAAAAAATTAGATATATTTAGGTGTTTTTGAATGATTCATATTTTAAAATCTCTAAATAAATAATATAAAAATATAATTTATTTTTTAAATGGTTACTTATATCATAACAACTTTAAATTTGAAATATATGATTTATGTTAATAGAATAAATTCAACCATTATTTTCATAGTACATAAATTGTACAAAAAAATTATATATAATTAA